TCGGCCTGACGTGAAATGATTAGATTTTCGCCAAAGTCGGAACATCTAGGGGGGTACTTTATGGGAGGCCGTTTTTATATTTTATGGAATATATCTGTTATTTATGTTTGGAGAAGAAAATTGTTTAAATAAAAGTTACTTCTAATATAATTATATATAATTCTTGTTTTATACAAAACTTTCCTAAAATGGTCCGTATTCGAGAAATTTGACAAAATGTAAAAAAAATATTTTTTTATAAAAATTGTTCAAATAAAAGTTGTTTGTAATATAATTCTCTATAATTTTTATTTTACACATAATTTCTCTAAAATGGACCGTATTCGAGATATTTGAGAAAATGTGTAAATTTCGAATTTTGAAGAAAACTCAAAAACGGATAAAGAAAAAAACATTTAATTTTAAACTTAAGGTTTATTTCGGCCTGACGTGAGGTGATTAGATTTTGGACAAAGTCGGAACATCTAGGAGGGTACTTTATGGAAGGCCGTTTTTATATTTTATGGAATATATCTGTTATTTATGTTTGGAGAAGAAAATTGTTCAAATAAAAGTTACTTCTAATATTATCTATATTTTTTGTTGTATGTCAAAATTTCCTAAAATGGTCCGTATCCGAGAAATTTGACAAAATGTGCAAAATTCTGATTTTTATGAAAATTGTTTAACTATAAGTTGTTTGCGATATCGATCTCTATAATTTTTGTTTATACATGATTTTTCTAAAATGGACCGTAATGGTAAAGTGCTAAATTTAAATTTTTCAGTATTTTCGTTTTCAATGAATATAGAAAAATGTTTTGAGGTATGTGGACAATGTATATATTTAGTTTATCCTCTAAACATTTATAGAGATGCTGCAATAGGTTGTACAAACCTAAACCGGAAAAAGCCTATAATAACTAGATAGGAAAGTCATGTGTTGGACACATCAGATTTTTTGCATAGTGGTAGTGAAACATGAAAATTTGAAATACTGCTACTGAGCATAAATAAATATTAATAAAAATTAATAAAAATTAATAAAAATTAATAAAAATTAATAAAAATTAATAAAAATTAATAAAAATTAATAAAAATTAACAAAAATTAATAAACATTAATAAAAATTAATAAAAAATAATAAAAATTAATAAAAATTAATAAAAATTAATAAAAATTAATAAAAATTAATAAAAATTAATAAAAATTAATAAAAATTAATAAAAATTAATAAAAATTAATAAAAATTAATAAAAATTAATAAAAATTAATAAAAATTAATAAAAATTAATAAAAATTAATAAAAATTAATAAAAATTAATAAAAATTAATAAAAATTAATAAAAATTAATAAAAATTAATAAAAATTAATAAAAATTAATAAAAATTAATAAAAATTAATAAAAATTAATAAAAATTAATAAAAATTAATAAAAATTAATAAAAATTAATAAAAATTAATAAAAATTAATAAAAATTAATAAAAATTAATAAAAATTAATAAAAATTAATAAAAATTAATAAAAATTAATAAAAATTAATAAAAATTAATAAAAATTAATAAAAATTAATAAAAATTAATAAAAATTAATAAAAATTAATATAAATTAATAAAAAATTAACTTTTTTAAATTATAAACAAGGCACCACGCGTGCAAAGCCGCGGGCAAAAGCTAGTAGTTTCATATATATGTCGTAGGCAAAATGCAAATTTAGTCTTTTTATAAACTGCCTAGGCATTTTACAAAAAGCCGGCAAAACGCGAGAATAAAATGCATTTTTCGTTATGCCGACACCAATTCAGGCAAATTGATAAAATGCCGGCAAAACAAGAACAGAAGAATGTATATCATGTTGTGACTGATTATTTTTAGGCATTTTACAATTTGCCAAAAACGATGCCGTCAAAACGTGAATAGATATAAAAGAAGTCGACTTTTTTCCGTTGAATAGTACATTAGGTATTAGGAATTGCCAGTTTGCAGTTTGCTAAGAGCCAGCGGCCGGTAAAAACGCACACTGCGTTATAATTTAATATTTCGTGTAACCTTTATTTTGTTGTTTATCGAAAATGAGAAACGAGATTTAGAACTCATGATAGCGCAATTTAATGAACAGCTACAAAAGTTTTATAGTGAAAGAGTGGAAAAAGGTGTTATTAAAAAATCTTGGACGGCTGACAGGGTTAAAGAAGTTATTACAGACATTAAACATGGTAAATTGGCTGACTCAACAGGTAACAAAAAAAATAATAAGCAGTATCATTTAATGAGAAAATATGATATTTTGTCTATCGGTACTGATGAACATTTAGTCGTAAAACGAAGTTCTCTTGACCAACCTATTATTTACATAATTTCCATAGAACAGTATTTTGATGTGTTGCTAGAATCTCACCGATCTACAGGTCATGGTGGTAGGGATAAAATGCTATTTGCATTAAAAAATAAATATAACATTCCTAGAAGAGCAGTAGAAACTTTCATTTCATTATGCAAGGAATGTCAACTTAAGAAAT